AAATACATAATGTATTATAAACAATAGAGCTAATATACATTACACATTACAGCAAAGGCCTGCTGGTGGCGCCAACGGCCTGACGATTGTTTTTACACATTACTGTGCGATCTATCTAATACTTGTTTAATATTGACCAAACACCATTTAATTCAAATGTCCACTTAATCTTTAATATTTGGCCATTTATTTAAGACAGAAATGCTATAGCCACCGTAATTAAAAGAATATGTGGACATCAAAACGTGTAAACTCAGAATGAGGATTTTAGCTTTTATTTTGAAACCGCGAGATAATGATGTATTCTCCTGTGTGTGCGTAGATTTATAAATGATTTACCTTAGAAATCTGATGAAATGGCACACATTGCGTTCCCAGATGAACGTTATAATAAACCCAAACTCACAACAACATGCAGAGATGGAGTTTGAGACGCTCCACACGTGTAAATGATAACAGTTCCTGTGGATGCATGTACTTAACCTACACGCATGTAAATAATTAAAGCGCATATAACTGTATTAGAACTGCATCGCATATAATTATTTAATTAAATCGTAGTATTTGTGAATTTACAATTATGCTTCATTATATAATATTATGTTTAATATATCATGCAGCCTTGGTTAAACAGTCTAATAATGTGTTTTATTTATTCTCGTCCATGAAATGCGCCACTTCCGGTATTTTGCCGGTTAGTCGGCGCGAGCAAAATGAAGTTGAGGATTTTTAAAGATCGAATAGTCAAATAAAATCTGCGAATCACGACAGCCCTAATCATAATAAAGAAAAGCCTCATTTAAAAGAATGAAGTTCTACACAAGAAGCTTAGTTTGTTTGGCATCACTATTATTATTCATTATAAAATATTTGAACATAAATGATTACTAATATGTAAAATTTAATATCATAGAGAGGACGTCTGCCAACACTATAGGTCAATAGGGTCAATCTCTTAAAATATCAGATGACTTGAATAACATGGCAAAATCAGTTCAGGTTATGAATTGTCATGTGGTACAACTCCTCAAAAACAGAAAATTTGAATACATTATTTTTGATATTTGTAAAATTACCTCTTTTTTTTTTACACTTTTTTTGTAAATATTATATTAACCCTCTGATGCATCGTGGTCACTACAGTGGACCCAACCACCAACTGGCGAACCCCCAAAGTGTTGTCTACGATTCTATTTAATTGTTGTCTTTTTATCAATTTTTTTGTTTTGAGATATTGCATAATATATTCAAAATGGCGGCAGGAAAAGGGGATGCACCATGTACCTCGGGAATAAGTGTTAAATACTTATTCTCAGAAAACCAGACAGGAACAAAAAATATTTTTCAGTTAAATAGGATGTCAGAAATAGATTCATCCAGATTTTAACAATATTTTTCTTGTACATTTTTTTTCTGTGACAGAAAATATATCTGTCCACTACAGTGGACGTCATGCACCAAAGGGTATAATTCTGCCTATGGGCCTATATATAGGTTCTGCCTTATTTTGTGTTTTATTAAAATTATGATATAATTTACACTTGACTGGTTTTATTGAACAGAAATATGAAATGGTCTTCAGATTTGATCATTTATTTTTACAGTCTATATTTATTTATTAGGTAATATAAAAGTGTAGGCATGTATACATGTATACTGTATGAGTGCAGATATATGTGTGCATGATTGCGTTCGACGGTGTTTGTGTGTGTTTGTATTTGTGCTCTCATGTGTATGACATTTTTTGTTTTACTGTGTGTCTGAACTGTTTTTGCTGTAAAGGTGTGTGCGGATCCTGGGCAAACAGGAGAACATCCGTGTGGTGCAGCTGAGTCTGTTTCAGGGAATAGCCAAGGCCATGCAGGCCGCACCAACCATTGAGATGAAGGCCTCTGAGAACCCAGCGCTGCAGAGCACTGATCCAGACCCCACCATCTTCTGCACCGCCTTCAAGAAGAACCGCTTCTACATGGTGGGATTCCAGCCAAACTTTTCCAATGTTAACTTTTTTTCCTGTTAATATCCAGAAGAATCTGACACACTTTAGACTCTAAAGGGTGTAGCTGTTCACACTAAGGATGATAATGTTCTGTTGATTATAAGTGTGGGCTGTATTTATGTTCAAATAATTGTGGAAAAATCATTTTGAGAGTGATATCTTTTTTTTTAAAGGAGCAGATCACCCCCCAAAAAAACTAACTCCGCTTCAGGCCATCAAAGATGTAGATAAGTTTGTTTCTTCATGGGAACAGATTTGAAGAAATTCTTGCTCTGCAATGGATCCTCTGCAGTGAATGGGTGCCGTCAGAATGAGAGTCCAAACAGCACAATAATTCATGTTTGTAAGAAACAAATCCATCATTTAAGTTGTTTTAAACCATCATTTCTAGCTAAAATTTGAATCCATAATAACACTTCCTCCAGTGGGAAAAAAAACATCCCGCTGTCCTCTCCCATCAAAATCCACTTAAATATGTTTACAAATATTTTGTCTTTATAAATGGTGCTTGATATGTGCAAAGCAACAGTTTGAAGTTAAAATGTCTCGATGGATTTCTTACAAACACACAGCTTTTCAGTTCACAAGACATTAATTAATTGGAGTGGTGTGTGGATTACTTGTGGATTATTGTGATGTTTTAATCAGCTGTTTGGACTCTCATTCTGACGGCACCCATTCACTGCAGAGCATCCATTGCTGAACAAGTGATGTAATGCTACATTTCTCCAAATCTGTTCAGATGAAGAAACAAACTCATCTACTTAAACTTTACAATTATTGTTCATGCTGTGAACGGGCCTTAATATATGTTTATTTTGAACAGTTCACCAAGAGAGAGCCGGAGGACACCAAGAGTGCTGATTCTGACCGTGACATCTTTAATGAGAAGCCGTCTAAAGAGGAAGTGATGGCAGCCACACAAGCAGAAGGGCCGAAAAGAGTGTCAGACAGCGCCATCATTCACACCACAATGGGCGACATCCATATCAAGCTCTTTCCTGTGGAGTATGTTTTATCGTTTAATAGCAGTTTGGCCTGAGAAGCCAGTATGCTTGGTTATTTATTTATTTTTCTCCTTAGATGCCCCAAAACTGTGGAGAACTTCTGCGTCCACAGTAGGAACGGTTATTACAATGGCCACATATGTCATCGTGTCATCAAGGTATGTGCTCCTGTCGAGTGTTTAGACGTGTGCCTCCGGTGGATGTGAGTTGAACAGGTGACTTCTCATGTGTAGGGCTTCATGATCCAGACCGGAGACCCCACAGGCACAGGGATGGGTGGAGAGAGCATCTGGGGGGGAGAGTTTGAGGACGAGTTTCATGCCACACTGAGACACGACAGACCCTACACCCTCAGCATGGCCAACGCAGGCCCGGGAACCAACGGATCGCAATTTTTCATCACTGTCGTCCCAACTGTAAGTCGTCCAAACTGCTTTGTTTTTTTGTTTGTGGTCAATAAGAATTTTTATTTTTTTTTATGTTTTTGAAAGGTCTCATCACCAAGGCTGAATTTATTAAAAAATGTAATTTATTTCTAGGTTAAACTAAATGAAAACAGGAAATATTTCCTTGGAAAGTAGCTAAATTTGTTTTTCTAAAATATTTTAATTCATGTTTTTTTTTTTTTTTTTAAATGATTTTAGTTTGTTTTATTTACCAATAATAATCTTGCTTCAGTGTTTTTGCACCAGAAATAACACAACTGCAAATGATTATTTAAGTCATATTTCAAGATATTTCTTAAATACAATGCAGTTGCATCAGCAACTTTAAGCAATGCATCTAAAAAAAACAACTGCATTGTTACATTCCTAAAAATGTTAATGAAATCAGAAAATCTGCTACAGGACTCAATACAGGATTGAAACTGAATCAAAACTTTGTGAATAAGAAAAACTGAATCAAGAAATCGAACTCAATAATCTAAGCCTAACAAGTGTTTTTGAATTATGCTGCATTACAGTTCTGCACCTTATGTCCTTGATGCTTCCCGTACTCCTTGCACACGCAGCACATGAGCGGCCCCGGCTGGCATCCATCTTCCAGGCAGACAAACTCAATGGTGTGCACCTGGTGCTGTGGACAGAGCATCTTCTCATGGGGCTTGTCTGCCAGCGGCACACGCCGGTGTTTGGTCAGTGTTCGGGTGGAGTGGGTGAGCTGGGAGCACTCGGCACACAGGTGTGTGGCACAAACCGTGCAGTACATAGAAGCAGTGTGAGTCTCATCCTCATCACAGCGGATTACGCACTAACGGAGACATGACAAAAAAAATCCATACCCATGACGCAATATGATACAACCATACACACCCTAAATTATTAGTACCATAACAGAACCCACAAAAGTGTGTGCTATATAAAAATCTATACATAGTTTATATATAGCTTATAAAAGGAGCCACAGCAATAAGATAACGGTTTAAAAAAGTAAATAAATGTACTGTATATTTAAATATAGTAATAAAATATTACAAGAGTAAAAATTGGTATCATCTTTTTGCGGTATGCCTATTTATAATATATTATTATTATTAATGTTATTACTATTATCATCATAATTGTAATTATTATTAATTTAGAAACACCCATTTTAGAATAGAAAATGTACATCTCTAATAGGGCTGTGCGATATTGAAGAAAAATGCGATATGTGATACCTTGTTAAAAAATGCGATACGATATTGCTTAAAGTGTGTAAAATCAATTTAAATGATATTTTAAAATATTTAAAAATGAAAATTATATAACCAATTTTTCACACATTCTTTCTTGGAAAATAAAGAATCACTACAACTTCTGAAAGTGACCAGCAGTGTTTTAGCATTACATAAAAAGTAATGTCACAAATCAGAAAATGTAATTTTACATCAATGTGAACATACAAACAAACTCAAATTAATGACACTAATTTTATATCATTGTAACTTTGCTTTCCACACACTTTAAGTACTTCTTCATGTACCACAGCAAAAACTATAGTCTGAGAAAGTTCAAACATGATTAAAGGCAAGTGAACGGTCAGTAAAAAAAAAAGGGAAATACACAATTTACAAGCACAGATCAAATAAACAGTAGTATTCAGGTACAGAAATGTAATAAGTGTAAAATAACACTGCATAGTGTTCACTGTAGGAATTAAATTTAGATTAATCTTTGTTATAGCCGTTTTGTTAAGATTAGTGACATATTCAGCAGCAGAGCATGTGAGCGAAGCGCTCCGCTATGTTTTCCGCTCTATGGACGCGCGCTCCACTAAGTCGCTCTAACCGTACAAGCAAGCGCTCCGTTAATATTCCGCTC